CCCATGTAGGAATTCATACACCGGGCCTCACACACATACATACACACACACACACACACACACACACACACACACACACACACATACACACACACACTGAGTGGCCAGGTTATTATGCATTCAGAGATCAATAATCTGGCCACTCAGTGTATATTGGGACAAGGAGTTTTTTTTTTTAATTTAATATTCACATCTGCTGACTCCAGACTAACACCGAGAATCATAATTTCATTTATAGAGATTTATTTTTATGAATTCAAAGATGGCGGCACCCACAGCCACAAGATGTCGGTGCCCAATGTCTTCAGCCCCACCAGGGCAGCAGGCGCCCAGACCCCTCAGGACCCCAGCCTCCCAGTCCCCACAGGCAAGCCTCAGATGGCAGCTGCCCAGATGCCCAGGGCTGCCCGAGGCTCAGGTAACCATGGCCGGCCGAGGCAGCAGCAGAGGTGTGATGGGGTGTCACCTTCCCCTGATTTCCAGGTCACCTCCCCCCGTGAGGGTTCCTGGACTGTGAGAGGGCGCAGGCTAAGCTGAGGGACCCCTCCCTCTCTAGTACATGAATTTTCATGCACCAGGCCTCTAATATATATATTGAGGTATATCTCAGGTTAATTTTCAACAAAATATTTCTGGAATCCAAAGATGCTTTAGGAAACTTGTCTGCATAATATGTTGCATCAGGAAGTTAGCTGAAAGAAAAAGAGAAAGTATCTGATAAAATACAACAGCCATTTCTTTAAAAAATATTTTTAAATAAACACTGAAAGAGTGAGGATATTTTCCCCATTGATATTTAGAGATTGTGGAAGGAAGTAGTGAGTGGGAGAGAGAAACATCAATGTGGTAGTGAAACATCAATCAGCTGTCTCTGGCTTCCTCTTCCCCCTCCCACTAACAAGGGTTAAAGCCTGCAACCTAGACGTGCCCTGATCTGAACTGAACTGGCAACCTTTCAGGGCATGGGATAATGCCCAAGCAACCAAGCCTCACCAGACAGGGTTTGGAATGTTTAAAATAAAAATGTCTGTAATAGATATGAAAAAAAAAATAACCATACATTACCAAAAAATTTTAAATAAATGAAGAGGACCAAGTTTCTTGATGGTGACACAGAATATTACAAAGATAACATTTTTGTATGACAATTTTAACTTTAAAATTTGACAAAGTGATCTAAAGTTCTTCTGGAAAATAACCATCGAGAAAACATAAGACTGTATAGGGGATTTTTGCTCTATTACATATTATTATATATATGTATATTATATATATCATATAATACATATATGATACATATATAATTACATAAAATATATCATAGAAATACAAAATTAAAGTGCATGTATTACTTATAGCATTTATTGACATACTACGTAGCATGTATAAATGGCATTATGTATGGTCATACATATGTGTATATGGTTCAAAACAGACTGAGATGCCATTAAAACTTAGTTTTGATTCAAAAAAGAAGGAAGCATGATATGCAAATGGGTTATTCAACTAATTGTGCTCTAAAATTTGACTATTTGTGGATTTTCAGTTAATGTCACATACCCACATAACATCTTTTAAAAAAAAAATCAACATTAGTAATAAAAATTAAAGGACAATAATGAATTCTAGGAAAACGCTTTGAAATTCTTACAGTTTGAAATCAGGAAGACTCCTAAATTATATGTTATTTTAACTTCATTCATCTCAATTTCATCATCAGTGAAATAGGAATAATAGTGCTGTTGGTGTTTAGAAGGCTAAAAATAAATATAGCACAGCCCAGTGCACAAAACAGTGTCAGCAATTATTTATTATAATTATTACTACTTGCAAAGTTCAATGACAAAAATTCTTAAATCTCAATAGAGAGACAGGCTAAGGATGTGAGTAATTGGTGGAAGAAGAAACTTAATTAGCTAATAAACTTGAAAAATTTAGCCTTGCTAATTATATGCAAATTAAAACATTAATAAAATGCCAGTTTCCAGATAATAGATTAGACAAAACTTTTAAATATAATACAAAAGAGAAGCTTTCTCTTACACTGGGAGCATACATTTCCCGGAACTGACCTTGAAGGAAGTTTGGCAGTGGTCCATACTTTCACCTGCAATTTTACTCTTGAGAATATATTTAAAATTGTCTAACTTTTACTTTTGTCTAAATAATTGAGCATATCTTAAATCAAGGGACTCAAAGTTTTTGTGATCTCCCAGTTTTATCCATGAAAAGATTTTTTTTATTATTAAAATATATTTTTATTGATTTTGTACAGAGAGGAAGGGAGAGAGAGAGAGATCTAGAAACATCGATGAGAGAGAGTCATCGATCAGCTGCCTCTTGCACACCCCCTACTGGGGATATGCCCGCAACCAAAGTACATGCCCTTGACCGGAATTGAACCTGGGACCCTTTAATCCCCAAGCCGACGCTCTATTCATTGAGCCAAACCGGTTTCGGCAATGAAAAGATTTTTTTACTTATGCTCATAATATCCATAAGTGTATTTCTTGTTTTTTTGTACTATACATTTTTACCACTAAAAACAAATAGAATTGCCTGGGCTGGTTTGGCTCAGTGGATAGAGCATCAGCCTGGGGACTAAAGGGTCCTGGGTTCAATTCCAGTCAAGGGCACATGCCTGGGATCTGTGCTCAACCCTCAGTAGGGGGTGTGCAGGAGGCAGCAGATCAATTATTCTCTTTCATCATTGATGTTTCTATCTCTCTCTCAGTCTCCCTTCTTCTCTGAAATAATAAAAAAAATTAAAAATAAAAACAAATAGAATTGAAAAGAAAAATAAAGTGAAAATAGAAATCCCAACACTTTCTTTCTGTACCTCAGTGTATTATCGGAAACATCTCCTGGTGTGCATGTACCCCATTCCAAAGACCCCATCGTGGACTATTCTGCAGTTAGAAAAAGAGTTCAATAAATCATAGCACATTCATCAGAGTAAATATTATGCAGCTGTTTGAAATGATAGCTTTGGATAATATTTTATTTTGAGACCATGCTTACAATATAATACAATAGTATCTATGAAGGTAAATAGAGTGCCTACCTGGCTCACCATTACATCCCTAGAACCTGGGCTGGCTATTGTGGGTCCTAGTGACACAAAATAGATGACAATAGAGAGATGGAGTAGGGTTGAAGTGGAGACTTAAAAAGCACATGCTTCTTGCTAGTGCCACTGCCGTACCAGCAGCTGCATTAAGAAGAGGGCTCTTAAAAGCAGAGTCCCTAAGCTGAGGTCTGTGCAAGCCATTAACAGTTTCTAAAGGGGGGTTTTATCATGAAGGACTAGGTCAGAAGCCTGGAGTTTGAGGGACCAAATGTGTTATCCTTCCAAATGATATCCAGGCTCTGGGAGGAGCGCTAATGCCTGGAAAGAGAGAGTCCTGTAGGTGGTGTACGTCCCACTGGGATGGGACAGGAAATATTCAGAGAAGTTAAAGTGGTTGTTCTAAAACTGCAGTGGGAGCTAATCAGGTATCAACAAGAATGGACTTCAACGAGGTTAAGAAGGCCCCGCTCCCTTCCCCACCTGGCCTCAGGTGCCCTGGGGGACTCTTGTAATAATTCAGCTAAGCCCCACAGGCCAGGGGGAAGCAGCCAGTGCAGGTTCTGCAAAGGCACGTAACCCTGAGAGATGATTCATTTGATTACTTCTCAAAAGAAATTAAGTGGATATAAGGCTGTTGGGGTAACACAGTAAGGAAACAATTGTGGCTTAAATTTGGATTTTCATAAGATTCAAGTTATTGAAATTTTTTCTGGTCTCCTAGGAATGATACAGCAGACCTTTTATGTGGCACAGTAAATCGTTTGCAATCTAAAATTTATCCACAAGTACATGAGCAAACTTTTACAGTTGATGGGTATGTTTATTACCTATAATACAGTGTTGGTTTCCTATATCCAAACTCACCAAATTATATACATTAAATATGTGCAGAGTTTTGTATATCAATTACATCTCAATCAAGCTGTTAAAAACCTTTTAAAAATATATTTTTATTGATTTCAGAGAGGAAGGAAGAGGGAGAGAGAGGAACATCAATGATGAGAACCAATGATCGGGAACTTGGGACCTTGCAGTCTGCAGGCTGATGCTCCATCCACCAAGCCAAACCGGCTAGGGCTTTTTTTTTCTTTTTTTTTCTTTTTTTTTTTCTCCAAGGGTCCCTTGTCTGTGCAACCTCTTGATCTTTTTATGTAAATTCCACACCCACACACCTCAGCCTGCTTTCTTTCTGTCCATAGCACTCATCACTCACCAGCGTGAGTGCTGAATTATTGATCTGCTGGTGTCAGTCTCCCCGCTGCCATCTTCGTTGTGGGAGGGCCTGCACTGTTCAATGATGTGTTCCCATTGCCTTGCCACATAGGCGTCATGACATACAGGACGCACTGGATGCATATTTGCTTTAATAACTGAATAATTAACATTTAAAACACGCCCAATATCAAAGTTAAATGAGGATTAAAAAAATTTCCAAGTGCAACAACAAACCAAAGTGTTTCCCACTGGATTTAAAAAAGTTATCCAATTTTTCAAAATCTATCATAATTGACTAATACGTAATACATAAGTATTTTACGTCAAATACTTAGGGAATTTGCCTCCTACTTTATCTCAGTGCTAATTTGAATTCACTTTTCTGCTTGCTTTAAAAAAATATATTTTATTGATTTTTTTACAGAGAGGAAGAGAGAGTAATAGAGAGCTAGAAACATCGATGAGAGAGAAGCATCAACTAGCTGCCTCCTGCACACCCCCCACTGGGGATGTGCCCACAACCAATGTAGATGCCCTTGACCGGAATCGAACCTGGGACCTTTCAGTCCACAGACCGATGCTTTATCCACTGAGCCAAACCGGTTTCGGCTCTGCTTGCTTTTAACAAAAAAACACAAAAACAAAAAAAAGACGATTTCTCGCTGGTTGTTTTAAACAGAGGGCTCTGCAGGTTTGATTAGAGGCTTTGCTTGGCATGCTAAGGGAACAAGTGTCCACAGGTGGCCCCTCAAGACCCAAAAGCCAGGGCCAGCCTTCCAGGCAGCGTGCAGATCCTGCAGAGTGCAGATTCATCTGTCATGGCGTGGAGGAAGGTAGGGACGTGGGCCCTGTCGTCTACAGTGGGAGAGTAGGAGAACTCAGCAATAGCCCATTTCTCACTTGTTTTGTGCAGGAAACAGAAAACTTCTCGGGCAATATGCGGGAGCATGTGGAAGAATAGTGCAGAAGCTCCATGGAGTAGAATGAAAGAGGGTTGTGTGATGAGGTCACATTCCAGCAGAGCTGGCTGGGCCCTCTTGAGGTACATTGATGTCATTGGAATGGACCCTATTACATAGTCAGATTTGGGATAATTCAGCCAGCTGAGTTGAAATGGTCTATTTTAATCTATGAAGCATCAGTCTAAGCAAATGAATGATAGAGGGGTGGGGACGGGGATAGATGGAGGCTTCTAAGCACAAGGATAAGAGCCAGGTGTTTATAAAGATTTGAGCACATCTGTTTTTATGTGATTGCATGAGCGTGCCTTACTGAATTGTTAAAACAAAGTCTGCTTTCCTCTTGACAAGACAGTACCAATTCTCATGACTGAAGTGCTTGAGGATACGAGGGAAGCAGTTCTTCAAAAATGCTCAGTGACAAACTCAGGTGCCTCCGCTGCTCCTCTGGCCATGCAGCCTCGGTAGCTGGGGATCCTGCGGGTTGCTGTGTGGATGCCTTGTTTTAGCGGGCGAGTTAGAACACAGCGGCGTTACATCTGGAAAAACCAAGCTGATGCTCTCTGGGAGGAGCAACATGTTTATTCATTAGCATCTGTAATGATGTTAAATCATTGCTTCAAAGAAATGGTGTTGCCTGCGTGCGTGTGCGTGTGTGTGTGCGTGTGTGTGTTTGTGTGTGTGTGTGTGTTTGTGTGTGTGTTTGTGGGTGTGCGAATGTGCCAGTGTTTAGTATACATTGGCATTTCGCAGAAAGGGGAGGTAAGGAAGCCAAGAAAATGTATGAGAAAGGAAGGGTACTGGACTCACAGAAGCTGTGGAATGTGTCCTTTACTGATGTGTACCAGATTGTGACGTTTTTGATGGAAGCAAATGTTTCTTGATCCTTACATTTCCCGTAGTCCCTAGCACCACACCTCCTACAGGATGAATGGTCCATAACTATTTGTTGGATTGCTTTAACTTTGTTTTAAGCAGACCCTGATTCAGAGCCACCCTAATCCTGAGAACCAAAGGGGAATAAAAGCCAGCCTTGTTTTAAAACTGTCCTCGATTTCAAAGGCTAGAGATTTAAAGAAATACTTAGTTAAGCCTCTTTTTGTGTAGTTTGGGTTGGAAAGAAGATATTTTTAATTGGGGTTAACAAGGTAGCTGATGGGGTGGGGAGAACCCAGAGCAAAACACACCTCCCCGTCCTTGTATCGGTGAGACCGCAAATCCCCAGGAATGAGGAGATTTAGCTAATCTTTCCAATCACATTCTCCCGTCCTCCCTCCCCTCATCCATCTCCTTGGAATTATGTTATCTCTGCTCAGTTTAAAAGCTCAGAAGCCTTTTGATTTGGAGCAGCATTCAAAGGACGGTCAAGGGTCACCCTTGGAATATTAAAGGAGAGTGTATTACAGGAGAGGAGAGGGAGAGGGAGCAGCTGGGGCCAGGCGCAGCCACGTACAGACCCAAGGCAGAAAAGGAGAGAAAGCGCCACAGGAGCTGCTGGCAGTGGGGAGAGAGCTGCACGGATTGCTAGGAAGGGAGGACAGGAAGTAGCAACCAGCAGCCTACATTATCAGTGCCCAGGGCCGGTGCTGGTGCAGCCCGAGAGGGGAAGAGAGGAAAACACCTATTAGTGAAATCAATTAGTGGCCTTTTGAACAGACATAGAATGGTTCCTTTAGAGAATGTGGACACTTGAACCTTGCCTAGAAAATGAAATGCCTGCTCTTGCTTTAGTGCAGGGATGCAATTCTACAGAGTGGACAGCCCTCCCTCCCCTTCCCCTCCCCCCCCCCCCCATAGTTAATTTCTTAAAATAATAAAGCCGTGGGATTTATAAAGTAAATTCCTTTGTAAGATGTCAAAGTAATTTAGTTTTCAAAAATCTATGTTTTGACCTTTCTTCATTTATAAATATTGATTCTTGTTTTTTTTTTGTTGTTTTTTTTTTGTTTTTCTTCAAATAAAATCAATATTTATGTAAGAGGATAGTTAGTGAGGGCTTATTATGTGCCAAGCACTGTCCTAATATTTGGAGTAAGAAGATGCAGTGACAGGCCCCTTCACCGCAGCAGTGGTTACTTACTGATTTTTTTTTTTTTAGGGGGGGGAGGGTTTCGGGGAGAGGGTGGTGAAGGAGGTGGATCATTAATCTCTTTGAAAGTCTGAGGAAGGCTGAGGAACTTTTCCATAACAAAATGGAAAGCTGTCCTGCTTTGTCAGAAGAGTTGCAAAGTGCAGTGTATACATCTCGTATTATTACTGTGCAGTCGGCCTATTCTGAGCGTTACTGGTGAATTATTTATTTAATCCCCACAGCTCTCCCAGGAGGCATCTGCTATAATTACTCCCATTTCCTTCAGGGAAATCGAGGCTCGGAGAGATGCGGTAGGTCTCTTGCCCCAGGCCTTTGAGTGAGTAGAAGGTGACCCCTGGGGTGCACACAAGCTCTTGGTTCCAGTGTCCAAGCTCTCACCCTGGCACTGCCGGCCTCCGGATGTGCAAGGCCCTGGTGAGGCTGGCCACTGTGGGCCAATGGGAAGGCCCCTCTGTGCAGGTAGACCAGGCAGTGCCCTGACACTTGATTGGCACCTGCCAGAAAATCGTCTTAGCATGTCTACAGTCATTACAAAAATGTGCATGGCGTGTTCTGTGGCTGTGCAGTGACTATCTTTTTTCCCCTATTTACTTATGGAACGATTAGTGGCCCTTGAAGGATATCCTGCTGGTTTATAGGGATTGGGCCTAAACCGGCAGTCACAATCTGGGACTGCTGGCTCCAGCCACTCACCTGCCTGCCTGCCTGCCTGCCTGATTGCCCCTAATCACTCTGCTTGCCAGCCTGCTTGCCCCCAACTATGCCCCTCCACCAGTCTGATCATCCCCAACTCCCCCACCCTGCTGGCCTGCTCACCCCACGATTCCTCCCCACTGGCCTGCTCACCCCCAACTGCCCCCTGTTGGCTTGCTCACTCCAAACTGCCCCCTCCCCGCTGTCCTGATCACCTCCAGCTGACCCCCAAAGACAGCCTGCTCACCCCAAACTAGTCTTCCTGCTTACCCCCACTAGCCCCTGCCATCCTATTCTAGCCTGATCACCCCCAGGTGACCCAAAGTCCCAGCTCCTCCATTTTTCTTTTTCTTTCTTTCTTTCTTTCTTTCTTTCTTTCTTTCTTTCTTTCTTTCTTTCTTTCTTTCTTTCTTTCTTTCTTTCTTTCTTTCTTTCTTTCTTTCTTCTTTTTTTTTTTTTTCAGCACCTCCTTGAGGAGAGGCCAGGGCTGGCCAGGGAGGGCAAGAAACTTGACTTCCTCCATTGCCCAGGCAACCCAAGCCTTCTGCTTGCTTCAGGTCACTGGCTGGCTGCCATCTTTGTTGGGTTAATTTGCATACTCGCTCCTGATTGGCTGGTTGGTGTAATGGAGTGATGGTTAATTTGTGTAGATAGGGAACTTGGCATATTTTGAATAAAAGATGCTTCTCTTCAGCTGTGTGTCCTTTCCATTCAGAATGGAAGAATATAATTAGATGCCTCCACATATTTAATGTATTATTTAAATGAATGTTAGCCTCTGAGAAAAATGACAGAATTAGAGCATACTATATAATAAAAGGCTAATATGCAAATCAACTGAATGGAGGAATAACCTGTCTCTATGATGTGCACTGACCACCAGGGGCCAGATGCTAAATGCATGAGCTGCCCTCCTGGTGGTCAGTGTGCTCCCACAGGGGGAGCACTGCTTAGCCAGAAGCCCTGAGCTGAACTCATGGCTGGCAAACACAACAGCAGTGATGGGAGCAGCTCAGGACATCCCCTGAGGGCTCCCGCCCACCCTCCACCTCCCTTTCATCAGTCTGTTCCATGTTTTCATGCCTGTGCATTGAGCATCTGTCCCTTGGTGGTCAGTGTGCGTCATAGCTACCAGTGGAATGGTCAAATGGTCTTTTAGGCTTTTAGTTTCTAATATGCTGTATGTGCAAGATGATACTGCTCCTAATGCCCAAGAGGATACTGGAAAGAAGAGTGAGTTTGTAGAAGTGGTGTCAGGCTTCCAGGCTGAACAAGGGGCATGGACAGAGCTCTGAGGCTGCACTCATTTAGGGCCACCCTGAGTTCCAGTGCTTGAGCCTTTGGTTGGGCAAGCTTATTCCCTGGACCAGAGGCAGCTTTTCTCTCATTCAAACTCAGTTCCAGGGAAAATAAAAAACATTTTCCCCCTTTCAGTGTTGCTAATTAAATTTTTCCATTTTGTCGTACAGTAAAACAAAGTAACACAATCACATAAAATCAAATTTACTTTCATTTCCAGAAGGAGAATATAGGTCAGTGTAGGTGTGAACATGCCAGACAAGTAGGATAAGCAGGTGAGGCCTTAATTTCATATTGGGATAATTTTAGACATGATTAAATGTATTCTTAACATGTAAAAACATCAACCAAGGACAATCTTTGCCCTTTCCTTCCTTCCTTCCTTCCTTCCTTCCTTCCTTCCTTCCTTCCTTCCTTCCTTCCTTCCTTCCTTCTTCCTCCCTTTCTTTCTTCCTCATAAGCAATCCATTAATCAATGAATCAAAACACCTTTATTGAAAGCCTGTTTTCTACCTGACATAATGCCCTGTATTGGGAATTCTGAGACACATATGCCTATACAAAGAACTCAAAAAATCTCAGCTGTAGAGTCTAACACTTCAATGTTTGTTGTTTTAATATCCAGTAGAAAAAGTGTTGTGATTTTATTGCATCTGTGATGATTTTCAATACGTATGGGCAGACCTGTAAAGCCTTTCTCTGTATATCCTGAAGACTTCATGTAACATAGGCGAGAGGAACCACTGTGGTGTGAAACACCCAGAGTGGGCACTTTGGTCCTCCCCTGCTTCCCTGTGAGGTCTTGGAAGCATCTCCCTAAAAACCTGAAGGTTTCTCAGGGCAGTGCTCAGAGACCAGGTCTATGTCATCCACTCTCTTCAAAGGTTACAAATGTCGAGACCCCAAAATTATTTATACACTACACACAAAATACAGTATATATGTATACAGACATAGACACGTTAGTTATGTCTGTTAGAATTTCTATGATGTTGAAAGTAAGCTTTTTTAGGATAGAGATCAGATGTTCTCTGGTTGTACATTCAAATAACTAAATGGAAATTCACTTTAATCTGAGTTACATGCTGATTAAATTTTGATACCCATTTGAAGCCATCAGATTATGAAGAATGTATGAATATAGGGTATGTGTATGCAATGTCGATACTGCTGTATAAACCCATTACCAAAAGACCAGATCTAGATGAGCCTGGATTGAACTCTTATTGATGCTTTTTCACAAAGGCAGCAGAAATTGAATTGATGGTGCTATTAGGTTGTCAATACCAGTGTCTCCCTTTCTTCCCAGAGAAGTATATACGAAGCATCACCCACACAGTCATTTTAACCTCCTGGGGACAGAGGAGCTATAGAGATTCAAGGTGATGGTACAGGGAAGATGTGTCTAACTGAACAGTAGATACTTTGTAGAAGACAAGAACTGGCAGATTCTTCTTTGGCTGATGGTTCTGTTTTTTTTTTTTCAACCCACAGGTTTGCACTGATCAGCTATTTTGTTTGTATTCTTTGCTTGTTTTGTTTGCTGTTTCCTAATGCTTTATTTTTTAATTGGAGTTGCTGCTGGAGTATAAACATTGCTAAGAGGATGTGGCACGCGAGGTGGGATTGGAAGAATGATAGAGACCATAGGCGGGGACTAATGGTGAAGAAGGAGATTTCACATTTACTTGAGGTTCAACAAAAAGACAAGAGACAAACTGTGCCCACATGTACACATTTAAATGAAATACCATCCTCGGACACTAATGCAAATCAGATATTTTGCAGTCTTTTTTTTTTTTATGCTTTCAGAGTGATTCTGGACATTCACCTTAACTAAATAGCTTCTGGATAAGGTGTTAGGGATTGGTGGGGGCAGCAAATAAGTGTAATTTGTGCAGGGCATATTCTGAGCAGAAGCTCTAAACCCTATTTCATTCTGTAATGATCTTGCCAGCCCCTAAGGCAGTGTTCTATCTGTGGGCTTATACCCATTTTGTATGCACAACTATTAGGCTCTTTTTGTTAGATAATGGTAATTCCCAAGGGTTGGAGATGGGTGAGGGATCACTAGATCACCAAAGTCTAGCTACCTAGTTATAATGAAAACAAGCTCTGAGACCAAAAGCTGCCATACATAGAGATACCGCCTAAGTACAATATCAAAATAGTTTTTTCAGTGTGTCTGTAAGCTTGATAAAGTCATAATTTTGTCATTTTTAGTGAACCTAATGAACCTTGGATGGAAGATTCATTAAGGAAGATTGAGCAAGATTCCAGAAGCAAGATCTGTTTCTATCATAGTCAGCATCAGGCAACTAGAATTCTCTGACGGAAAGATTGGGCATGGACAGCATGAGGATCAATCCCTAGTCTCCTGGCCTCAAGATCATAGGTGATAGGACTTGCTAGATTCTCTGGTTCCACACAAGAATGGGGGATAGCTCCAAAATACTTTAGCCAGTACATATTTCAACCCCCATTAATGCTGATCACGTCAGGAATTTTACTGAAATTAATATAAATTATGCTAATCAGTAAAATACAGGGTGAGGGAGTGGTGAGCAGTGAACTTGAACAGAGATAGAACGGAAGAGTTTGTGGGTGGCCAAGCCTGGAGGGGGCGCTTCTGATTGCATGCTAGCCCTGGCACCTGAGCATTGATGGAGGGAACTGACTGAACCTCAGGCAGAGCTCAGAGATCTGAAAGCCTTTTCTGTAAAGAAGCAGAGAGTAAATATTTTAGGTTTTTGCGGATCATGAGCAAAATGTTGGCTGCCCATGAGGAAAAAACATGACCTTTAGGCAAAGGCCAGTTGTGGGGAAGGATTCAGCTGTGAGCCATCCTCAGCCATCATCTGTGGCAGCTGGGTAATTAGTAAGTTGGTCCCTAAAAATGGGGATCTGGATGTCACACCACAGCATCCACTACAGCATATTCTCTTCCAAAATAAAGGTGTGGAGAGTAAAGTAACCCACAGTCAATTAATGTCTTTTGTGGGAGGTGGTATAATGGAAATGTCTATCTGTGTGACGTTTTCTGTTGTTCCAAACATACTCATATACATTATCTGTACATTACCTCACTCTAGTCTCACAGGACCTCCCTTGAGATATATAAAGCCATTTGGGTATGCACACCAGGATGGAAGAGGTGGTGATTCACTTTGAAATTTAAATACCTTGTCTGGTTTTCACACAATCCTTGTTTATTTTGGGATTGGAATAAATTAAATGATTTCAGCTACACTAACTGTAAAGAGGATAGATGAGGGTAATGGCAGTTGAGATTACTGGG